AATATTAACAGTTTAATTATTTGTTTTGTTTTAATGGGCCTTAGAAGGATCCAAATGACTAAGCATATTCCAAGACAAGTCATATTCCATTATAAGAAGAAGAAAAAGGGTGGAATCTGATTAGAGCTTTTGTGAGGTGGCTTTGAAGGGCAAAATAGGCTTTAATTGCAAGAGCTCCCAATCAACTATTAAAATAACATCAAAATCATATTTAGAATAATACAGAAGAATGTACTTCTCCAGAAAGATAGAAAAACAAAGTTTGTTTTTGAAACTGTTCTGGATCTTTTTTTTCTTCTTCTTGTGAGCTTTGGGGTTAATTGTCTTATAAGGGTTTTGTATTCTTCTTAGATTGGGATAATCCTTGAAGGGATTGAGTGAGTTGTTGAGATTCACTTGTGAGGTTTAATCTTGCACCCACAAGCAAGAGTTTCTTCCGGTTTCATCTTACACCTGTAAGCAAGAGAATCTTAGTGGATTTAACTCTCGAGCAATGAGGCTTAGGGATTGGACGTACTCTGAGTTGGAGGAACCACTACAAATCATAACTTGATATTCTCTTCCCTCACTTTTTATTTTTTTGTACTTTATTATTCTTTGTTTATTTTGCACAACAGTTTATATGCTGAAAATTGGATTTAAGTTTTGAAACAAAAAGAGAAAAGTTTTTAAGTAAAAATTGATGACCCAATTCACCCCTCCCCCCTTCGGTAGCTAGCTAGGATTTGAGTGAATAATCCTAATCTAAGGTACAAAACTAGGTTAGTGGTGAAGGGCTTTGGACAACAAAAGGACATTGACTATGATGAGATTTTGTCACCAATAGTAAAGATGCCATCCATTTGAGCTGTTTTGGCCTTGGCAGCTAGCTTAAATTTAGAGATTGAACAATTTAATGTTAAGATGGCTTTTCTCCATGGTGATCTTCAGGAGGAGATCTATATGAAGTGACCTTAGGATTTTGAGGTATAAGGCAAGAAGAATCTAGTGCGCAAGTTGAAGAAAAGTTTGTATGGTGTCAAACAAGCTCTAAGGCAATGATATTGTAAATTTGACTCTTTTATGGGGAAGCATAAATTTACTAGAACTAAATCCAACCGTTTAGTTATGTAAAGAGATATTCAAATGGTGATTTGTTGATACTTTTGCTTTATGTGGATGATATGTTGATTGTTAGCCATGACAGAAAGAAAATTACATCTTTGAAGAGTGATTTGAGCAAGTCTTTTTCTATGAAGGATTTGGGTCCAACAAAGCAAATTCTTGGAATGAAAATCTTCTAAGATAGAAAGAACAACAAGCTATGGTTATCACAAGAAAAATATATTGAGAAAGTGCTTGATAGGTTTAACATGAGTAAAGCTAAACTGTGGGCACTTCACTTGTTGGCCATTTCAAACTTAGCATGAAGTAGTGTCCTACAAGCAATGATGAAGCAAAACACATGAAAAATATGCCTTATGCATCTACAATTGGTAGCCTAATGTATGCCATAGTGTGCACAATGCTAGATATAGCTCATGCAGTAGGGCTAGTAAGCAAATTTTTATCCAAGATTGGCAAGCAACATTGGATAGTAGTTAAGTGGATTTCAAGTATCTTAAAGGTACATCTCACATGTGTTTATGTTATGGTGAGCATGAACCTTTATTTAATGGTTATAATAATGCTAATTTGGGTAAAGATCTAGACTCTAGAAAGTCCACTTCAAGATATTTGTTGCTTTATGCAAGAGGAGTAGTTTCACGAAAGTCAAAATTACAAAAAAAACATATCCTTATCTACTGCAAAAGCTGAGTATGTAGCTTATCTAAAGTAGGAAAAAAGATTGTGTGGATAAAGTCTTTCTTCAAAGAATTGGGTATTAAGCAGGAGAAATTTATGCTATTTTCTTATAACTAACTTGCTATTTACTTGGGCAAGAACCCACAATTTCACTCTAAAACTCAACATGTTGATTTAAGGTATCATTGGATACATGATGCAATTAAAGAAAAGGTGCTTAATGTTGAGAAGGTTCACACAGATGATAATGGCTCTGATATGATGACCAAGTCCTTGGTGAGAAACAAATTTAAGTTTTGTAGATTCCAAGTAGGCTTGGTGGAGCCCTCCAGCGAGCTTAGGTAGAGGAGATTATTGAGCTAGCCCTCTCAAGTTGGGTGGCTCAACAATGTAGATACACCTTGGGTGCATTGATAATGATAGAAATTTGGGAAGTTCTTGACACGAACTTGTTGTTTTGGAAGAAAATGGGAAAAACAAAGTAGACACCCTTGCTTTGGACATGTTAATAAATTGGTCTTTGATAGGATAGTTGTTACTATCCTTGTATCCAAAAACATCCCTATTTATCTCTAGTACAAAATTTAAAATGAGTGCAGAGGTGTGTGTGAGAGAAAACAATGAGGAGCATAAAAGAAAAACAAAGAGTAAGGTTGAGAGCATTTCTCCCTTTGAGGTCCTAGAGATTTGAGATATTCAGATTTTGATTTAAAGATTGTAATCCATCATTTGAATAGTTGATTGATTTGCATCTAGGCAAGTGCCCCATCGTTTTTTCGATTTGGTTTTCCACGTAAAAATCATTGGTGTCTTCTTTATTTTTCTTGTTTAGCTTAATTTGTTTTTGGTGGTTGATTGAGTTTATTGATAGTATTGATTCTAGGTATTGGTGCTTTAAAATCTCAACAACAAAAGCAACTCCCCTAAAGAAGAAACCCATAATAGAAGAAAGTCTATTATATCTTGAATATACAACTCAGTAGTATTTTTAACCAATCATAGCATGTCATGTCAATTCTTTCTTTCCACCTTATTAATCACTATTAAGCAACATCAATAGTATTATGTGCTAACCATTAAGCAACTTGAATGGATGATTAATGAGGTGAGAAAGAAAAATTAATGTGACATGCTGTGATTGACTTAAGATACCACTTGGTGGTATCCTTAGATACTGTAGACTATTTCTCATAATATAGCCCTAACCATAGAGAGAGGCGGCTAAAGGAATACAATGAGGTTTCTTCTATAATGATTTTAAACACGTACAAGATTTTATATCCCAAACCTTATACATTTGTGATTGATATACGATAGTTGGGTAGGTATGGATTAATTTAATTACAATTGAAATTGAAATATTAGTTAATTAAAATTTTGAATTTTAGATGTTAGTAATCATTAATTAAATTGGAAAAAAAAAAGAGTTTTATTAGTGTTGATTGCATTTTTAAGAGCAATCATTTAGATCAATTTTGGTTTTAATAAAAAAATTATTTTTATATTTTTTTAATAATTTTAAAAAAATTATTATTATTTATTAATTTATATCACTAGAAAAACCAAAATTCATCTAAATAAATAAATAATTTAGTAAAAAAGTGACTATAGAAAGCCTTAAAAAATCTAAAAATTACTAAAAATTTTATATAAAAAGTTTTTAAGTTGGACCTTTTTGTTATACTCACCTTAATCATCGATTTTTTTAGTTTTTAGACTTAACAAAAAAAATTCCAAACCATTTAAAATCAGTTAAATTTAATTTTTAGTTAAATAAACCCAAAATCTAATTAAATCCTACCCGTGTACTATGGTTTTATTGGTTTTCCAATTCTTTTTTGGTTGTGAATTTTTTGGCCCAACCTGAATACAGTTAGCTGTAGCTTTGTAGTATATTTAAATTAAGAAGAGTGAAGGGGAGGGGAAGGGAAGGGAAGGGAGAGGAAAGAAAGAAAAAAAAATGTAACCAATTATTTAAACAGTTAATTAATCTAAACAGAAGTAAAATTTCATTGAGAATTCCTTTTAAATGAGTTGATTTTTTTATTAGTTCCTAAATAAGAGAGAAGCGCTCCTCATGAACTCTCTTTTTAACTCTTAGTCCATTTGATTCATGTAGAGTTTTTGTAGAAGTGGCGCAATTGGTTAGTGTTTGATAATTGTTTTTCTAAAGTAGTATGTAATTATTAAAAAATAAAGTGTTTTTCATGCTGAATTGTATTTTAAAAGTGAAATTTGATTATTAAAATTATTAAAATATTTTTAACGAAATTTTTTATGTTTATTTATTAAATATAACTTAATAATTTTATAAGTGTTAAAACTATATTTTTAATATATAATATAAACTAAAATACGTAAATCTCAATTATAAAAGTAAAAAAAATAAAAATTAAGGTATTTTACCACTTTAAATTAAAAAAAAAAAACTTTTCCAAGTTATGATTTATATATTATAAAAGAATTAATATTTAAGTTCAAAATAATCCAAAATGTAAAATAAATTTTCAATTATAAAAAATATCAGTTATGGCAACACCTACAACGACACGTGAAATGGGCAAAAATAATAATTAAATATTAAAATGACGTCGCACTAGCACGTCCCTAACTTGTGTACGTTA